ATTTGAACCGCTGACCTGCTGATCTAGCAGTAGCCTGCAGTGCTGCATTTAACCACTGAGCCACCTTGGCTCTTAAGTGAGCCTCCCCCCATTCCCTGCCCTAAAAAGAGCCGCGGTGGTGCAGTGGTTAGAATGCAGTTCTGCAGGCTACTTCTACTGACTGCCGGCTGCCTGCAATTTGGCAGTTCGAATCTCACCAGGCTCAAGGTTGACTCAGCTTCCATCCTTCTGAAGTCAGTGAAATGTATTGTTGGGGACAATATGCTGACTCTGTAAACCACTTAGAGAGGGCAGTAAAGCACTGTGAAGCAGTATATAAGTCTAAGCGCTATAGCTATTGCAGTATAAACTTGTTATACGGTTATGTGGCAAATGAATTCACAGCACATTGGTATCTTTAGGAGGGCGCTCAGTTTTTCAGTATACCTTTTCTACCGGTTCCTGTTATATCCATGACAAAATCCGATTTGGAAGGTAAATCCACTTAGAGTTAGGTCCTCATGAACGGGGAGAGGATAATGGATGACGCCAATGAATTCACAGCATATTGGTAGGCTTAGGAAGGGGTTGAGATTTTCAGCCCACCTTATCAACCTGTTCTTCTTAAATACATTGAAAAATAGCAGAGTTCCTCATCCTTTCCATCCTTGTGGACCGGCAGGGAGGGGAGGAGAGCGGGGATAGTTCTGCATGAGTGGTAGCAGCCACACGCATGCTTTCCCCACACTGCTTGAGTAGGTGGGGATGTGAGCGCATGCACTCTCTCCCCAGTTCTGCGGCCCGGTTGTGAACGATTCAAGGCCCAAAAGTGGTCCACGGCCGAAGGTTTGGGGACCACTGCACTAGAGTGAAATAGCTCTTTTGTTCCACTTCATAACTTTTACATTACCTTGCTGGAACACCAGATGATATTGAACATGGAATCCATTAGTCTGTCACCCAGTGAGTATAGAGTTCTTATAAGAAGTTCTTTCATGATATACGGATTGGAAGGATTACATTCTGAAGTATATATGACAAAAATCACATTGTGTTCATGAATGTCAGTCACTAATGGTACGGTGGTGTGACAGAGATGAGACATCCTAGATCACAAACATTAATTACAGAAAATAAAAATTAATGACAAATTTGTAAATATATAAACACTTTATCATTTTTTCAAATATTTGCACAATGTTTTTACTTCCAATAATGGGATGAATGCAGGCTTACTCAAGATCTGATGAAATTAATGGAATTTATTATAAATGTAACTTAGATTCTACACATTTCTCTCTGCTCAATTTAAGATTAAATCTAATCCATTACTCTCAATTTTCCTAAATTTCCTGCCTATTTATATTATTACAAAGTCTTCCTCTTTCCCCTAATATTTTCTCTATAAATTTAAATAGCATTCACATGCTTTTTTTGTTCTTTCAAAAAAGAGAGAATTCCTGTAAATCAGTTTGAATACCCAAAAAAGGTTAGGTAACTTGTAATACCAATAGTGATAAATAATTGTCTCTTTTGAATTAATCTATATAAATTATGGAATCATGGAATGATAAAATAAACTTGAAATTCGTTGCCAGAAGACAGTAAGGTCAGCGTATAAGAAATTATGAGCTGAAATAGCCATAACAAGTTAGCCAATGGGAAATGTTTGGAGACTAATCAGGATCTGTTGTGAGCCATGGGAGA